GCGCGTAAAAGACGATGCTCGTCGTCTGCTGCTGGTGTTCTAGCCTCCTCCTGTCCTGGGCCGTCACTGCATTGTCCTGGGTCACCGTTCCTACCTCCCAGTGAATTCCATCACTTCGTTGCACCAATACGATCAATCCATGCTGTTGCTTCTGAGGTCCGACGAGCGTTCCCAATGCCTGTCCTTCCCCAATGACACGCCACTGATATTCATGCTGCAGCTGTGGCGGATGCCTCAGCTCCAAATCCGGCTGGACTTGCATGACTTCACCCACTCGCAGGTGGGGTGAGTTAAGGAGAATAGCTAACGCCCAGCGGCGAAGCTTAGCCTTTTGGTGTGGCTTAGGTCCTTTTGTGGGAATCCGGAAAGAGAATGTCGCCTTGTCGGTCCGCGTAATGCGGAGATCCGCTATCTGACAGTCTTCAATCTTTGAAAATTTGATTGCCTCGAGCATGCGGCCCTCCTTATCCCGGATCCATGGGTTCGAAGTCCAAGCGAACGTTGCCCAGAAGCGCTGTTGTTCCGGTGTCCATCTTTGCCTCGGCTGCGGCAATGTTCCCGGTAGCTCAAACAACCACTCTTTCTTCACTGTCCAGCTGGTCGACTCCAGCTCCAGTGTCCGCATGCAGTTTTGATAGTCTGCAATGGCCGCAGGAGTGCCAGGCCTAAGATCATGAAGTTAGCTCCAGGACCAACCATGGGATACGAAAAGAGAAGTCAACCGGAGGGAGAGCTCAGGACGGTACTCACGTTTGAATTCGTCTCGTCTGCTTTTTAACTACACCAGCAGCTACAGCTACGCCCAACAACATTTCAGTTACTTCGCGCGACTGCTTTGAACAACATGAGAAGAACGTGCACGGGCCTGGAAAAGTACTCCGGTCAGCAAATGGAGTGTGCAATTTGGAAAAACAAGCCGCTCACGCATGTGGCGAAGATGGACTTGGGCGTCTTTAATACTTCCTGACCCCAAGGTTGGCATGCGCGACTTATTAAACTCGCCGCCAACACGTTTATGGGACGAAGACGAGGGTGTGGCTTCTGAAGAGAAGTAAAAGAATATGTGAAGCGGTGGCGAAATGTGGATGCAGCGCCCTCAACAAGATCCTACCAAACTCGTTTCTGTGGTAAAGTGCTTTCTCAGAAATAAGAGAATGGGCCTGACGCGGGGTCACTATCCCGAATCAATGACAATTTCAAGTGATTAGAGAGGATTTGGGTTGGCTGGCACGGATGCAAGTTGCGGTGGTGGATTAGCCATGACGAGCAGCGCCCCGTATGAAGTGACGATGGATCTGGTATGAGCGATGTACGAGAAGGCAAGATCCAACAAGACTTACCTCGGATCCACCCTTACTTGGATTCACCTAAATGGATATGGGATATACTATACAAGAGTGGATCGGGTGTGGATCCTATGAAGGAAGGATGGTAGGTGCCCTCTAAAGGTGGATCTAGTAGCCACGGCTAACGAGGAGTCAAGATCCACCGCGAGGTGACCCGGATCCCATGCTTTCGAGTTAGGATCCAAGGAGGGAGGATCCCGCCTTAAGGGACCTGGATCCAGGGTATAGGTATGATGGATGCAGTGGATCTAGAACTTTCGTGGGACAGTGGAGATCACAGACGGTTGCGAGATGATGTTGGATGAGTGGAGAGCTCAGATCCACGACGAGTGTACACTTTCAAGTGAAGTGGATCCAAGCGACCTGGATCCTGATGAGTGTACCCATAATAGGGTAACCATAATGATTACGCCATGGATCCGGTGGATCTGAAGATAATACAGCTGGGATGATGGGTCAAGGGAAGAAGGGACATGCAGCCGAGCCTGGTAAGGGATTTAGCAGATGAAAGACATAGAAGGTAGAAACCCAGGCAGGTATAGGCTTAAATATCAATACAGACCTCAATTTGCACAGTATCACGCAAGTGCCTTCCTGCCCTCAAGAACCGGAACTACATTGGCCGTACGAGCTCCGAGAAGGTTGGGAATTGCGAATCTAGTGTTGGTAGTGATAACTGGATAATACATTGGCCAGATCCTACAACCTAGTGAGCTTTTCCTTTACTCGTGCAGATCCGACAGGTTAACCGAATTTACTACTTGGTCGGTTACACCCTAGAGGTTCTCAACTCTCAAGATCCCGTCACAGGAGGCGGCAAGTACGACTTAAAGGACAACACAAAGGCAAGGGAACACACCCGCAAGGCAACCCTACGGCTAGATCCACGATCTAGGCCCCGGATCCATAAGCTCGAATATTCGCTTAGAATACGGAACCATCCACGGACGCAGAGTGAAGATTTTCCACTGCTGCTCCACCCCATCCCCACGTCTCGCCAAGACACTCAAGCTTCACCACTTGAACTCTTCGGAAGTTACCGAGAGAGCAGATCCCGCCCTACCGACGGGTACACAAGGTGAGGAAAGTTCAGCAGAACACGGATCATCGGGGGACCCCCTCCGTTAGTCGGTGTCTGGGCGCAGTTGGTAAGTTGGATCTGGCAATCTCGCAGATTTTGCTGATCCCGCTACACCACAATGGTGCGCGTGCCCGGATCTTTTGGTGACTCGGGATTTCACCGTGAGTCCCAAGAAGATGCTCAAGTGAAGATTGAGCCAGGGGAAGAGGCGTCGTCGGAGGTCGGATCGACGAAGACACTGCTGAATGAAACAAGATCCGCGGATCGATGGAGTTTTGGGAGGAACTCTGTCGACGGAAGAGAGGTGGATCCGGATCCGGATCTAGAAGAGAAACCTCTCTATCCTCCCCAGGTCCCCTCGGGGACCCCTGCGGATCTTGACGCAAGTCAAGATCCGCTAACAAAACAAGGGAAAGTGAAGGCGAAACGGTATGCATTTGCAGATTCACCGGTTAAGCCAACACCGTACCTAAACCCAAGCCCGCTAGTCGAAGAAACAAGAAAGAAGACGAAAACGAGTAAGACTACGCGGAAGAAGATGCAAGCTCCAGAGTCGGAAGAAGACCAAGCTGGATCCAGGTCAAGCTGGTCCGACAAGGATCTCGAGTTTGTGTATCGCCACCAGGCTTTACGCGACTTCCTGCATCAA